CCTTGCTTCTTAAGAGTGAACAAGACTAGCATGTTTTGTCCTCCTCCTTGCTTCTTAAGAGTGAACAAGACCAGCATGTTTTGTCCTCACTCACATGCATTCCAACATAAAATTGGTTCAAGTAAAACACAAGGAAAATTATGTCCTCACTCACATGCATCCCACGAAAATTCATAGGAGGTCACCCAACGTAAAATTGCTTCAAGTAAAACACGCTTAACCACGAAACTCCTATGATTGAGCCACAAAAAAGGAAGGTGCATTTTGATGGTATAGATAGTAACTTTCATTTCCTTTTAAGTTTTTTTTAGTCATCTTATTCTCAGGAAGTTCCTATGATTGGGCTACAAAAAATGAACGTGCATCTTAATGATATATGTAGTAATTTTTATTTCCTTTAAATCTTTCTTAGTCATCCTATCTTAAGAATTGCTCTCTTTAGAATGTACGGCTCTTTTACTTGAGTGTCTCCGTAACTTTCAATTATTTTAAACATTTTTTAATCATCTTATTCTCAAGATTGCTCTCATTCATGTACCTCTTTCCAACATTGTTTTTATTTGTATGAACTGAAATTATAAATTAAAAAAAATATATATATAGGAAAAAGTTTCTTAGGCACTAAGCATGGCAGTTGGATGGTTAATATCAAAAGTGAGAAAAATCAGCTGAACCACTCCATTAATTGTCCTTTAATAAAAAAAAAATTAAGTAATTTTTGTTGATTCAACATAATTTTAATAATAAAAATAGAACATTATAACTCATTTAGAAAAAAAAAAATTAAAATGTTTGCTGATAAGTTATAAGGTAACGGTTTTCATCTATATATTAACGATAATAATTTTTAAAATTTTTTGTATATAAATAAAGAATATTAATGCTAATTTTAAAATTTTATGAGTATTTTTTAAATATAATATTAACCGTAAAAATATTTTTGAAAATTTAAAAAAAAATTGAAGAGTATTAATATATATATATATATATATATATTTTTAACTTTAAGGGTATTTTTAAAACATTATTAAAAATTTAAGGGTAATTTTAATTTTTTTTTTAAATTGCAAAAATAATATTAAAAATTTTAAAAGTTAGTATTTTTGAAATAAAGTACCAAGTTTACGAGTATTTTTTATTAATTTAGCTTAATTCTTTTATGTATCTATTTCCTTTTAGTTTTATTAAAGAGATTAAAAAAATTAAATCACTATATAATTTTTTTTTACTACCCATCTTAAAAAAAGACAATAAGGCCCCTTGTTCATGAGTGATGTTTGTGTTTGTAAGATTAAATGATTAAAAAAAAGAATTATATTTGAATGTCTAAAAATGTAAGCTAATATTTTGGGCACATCACATGCAAATTCATTGAAGCAATAAAAACACTATTATCAAAGTTTTTAAACACTTTAGAGCCACCAATATGGGAAGGGTTAAGATAAGGGTTGGGGATCATCCCATGTGAGGCTTACGTCCATATCTAAAACTACACCAAATTTGAGATTTGAATTTCGAGAAAAACCCGATTAGAAATGAAGTTGGGATCTATGAACGAGATCTATAAACCTTTGAAGAGCCGCGTGAACCATATAGACAATAAGCTCTCTGGTGAGGCTCGAAAGTCGAGTAGAGGAGACACCAAATACATACGATGAGTTTAACCTAATGAGTTGGGTACTGACCTAGCCAAGGTGCTTGCTCCTTCTTTTCTTACTTTTCGTGACTATGTATATAATCCCGATAGTGAGACAAAGAAGAATGAAATAAATAGAAGGAAATCGTTCATCTCACTAAAGAGACATACAATACTGTTCTAGTTCAGCTAGGCACTGTTACATTCTAAACATTGTCTTAAATATCGGAGTGTATTGCACCTCACTTCATTTTTATACGGGTTTTTGTCCTTATTGGTTAGATCAGTCTTTCAATCAGTCACTACCTAATGTGAACTCTCGGCCAAAATCTCCCATCAACAATTATTTCTTTCTAATATTCATTCCTAAAGTGTAAGATGATTCTATGCTAATATGATTTTTTTTTTTTTAAAGTCGGACAAATTTTGTTTAATGTAACATGTGCTATAACTAATCATTGTTTTAGCCCCTCGTGCAACTATTATGTAGCGATGTCATTCATATTTTTAAAGGGTAGTGTTATCTTTGTATTTTAAATTTTTGTACCGAGAATTTAAACCAATAAATAAAAACAACTAAATCATTTTTAACACTCGGCAACAAAAATAAATTACTAAATTAATAAAAATATCCATGAATTTAACGTATTTTTTTTAGAAAATTTTAATATAGATAATTATAATATAATTTTTTTTTTTATATCGGATAAAAATAGTTATAATTTGGATGCATTTGATTGAAACCCTACTTGAATCCAAAATGGTAGGCAAAATAATTAATAATGGCTGGTTTCATGCATAGTTTGAAGGTTGCTCAATTAATACCAAATCATATAAGGCACAAACTGTATTGGACTATCTTTTGTGATACCAAACAAAAGAACATGCTATGTGGGTCAATTTGGTTGGCCACTTTTCGTTACATGAAGGGCACATACTTGGGTGTGAAATTACCATCAAACCCGCTTTTCTATACATTTTTTTTATTATTTCACTCGAACGTTAAGGGCTAGAAAAGTCCATTCACAAGCTATATGCCCTTTTGGAGGTCAAGTCTCTGGAAGAGAGAATGATTAGAATGAAAGAGACAGATAGCGTTTGAGACAATACCCTATCTTTATTGATAGTGTATATTTAAAGGTTATATCTTTATGCTATTTTTGAATTGGGTATCGAGTAATTTAGATCAAATGAAACCAATAGAGTAATCGTAGGTCAAAGAACGATCGAAAGGAGAGAGGGTGAATTTTCCCGAGAAACAAATAGAAAATGATATGAACTTGGGAAGCAAAGGAGAGGAGGAACCATGTTTGTATCATGTGAGCATTGTCCCCTTTGGCATGTGCATTAATTCTGCTCATGTCACCCTCAATCTCTGACTTTCTTTTTTCTTTTCTTTGTTTTAAAAAAGGTAAAAAGCATAAGAAAGGACTGAATTTTCTTTTTGTTTTTGTTGGTTTCTCATTTGTATCTCTTCTGCTTAGTATCCACTTTATTTATAATATATAATTCGATACGTTGCTATATTAGTGACGTATAAACCATATTCGTCTACAAAGCTTGTTCGCTTGGTTACAGTGGCGTGGTTGAATGTAACGTAGTTCACTTGTGAAGAATCTAAACCGGTCCTAGGGGAGTTTACTTGACCCATTCTCTAGTCTCTATGAGCACTGTACATCTTTCTTAGATGAGAACACACGGGTCGATCTACAACCTATATGGAAATAAGAAAAAGAAGGAGAGAAGGGCCCATAGTTAGAAATTGATATAGACACAAAGAGGTTTGATAGGAAAGTTGTTTCTTGACCAATTGGCAGAGGAACGAAGAAGCTCGACTGTAGAGTTACGCTCAGGTCCTTTGTTTTTCAGGGAGGAAGACGATGTACTATTGGTCTGCACGAATATATATTTCACTTTTACAAGTGACTAGTAGGTAACATGATCGTGCTACAAAGGATAGTTGAAGCCAACAACAGGTGAATCTAAATTTCAAATCGTTGTCTGAATCTAGGACATGAGTTGTTTCACGTTGTCTTAAAGAGTGCAAATTGTAAATGTCAATTATGGGCCGTTACAACTTGACCCAAAATCTTCATCTTGGTCCCAAGGGGGATAGGGTCATTCATTGATGGGCTTGGCCCAGACATTCACTTACATCCTCGTCATGGTCAGGTTACCTTATGGTGGGTCTGAGAATGCAAGTTGCACCGGTTAACACAACTTTCAATTCTTTTAAGTTTTGCTTAGTCATCTTATCTTTAGGATTGCTTTCATTCGGATGTGTTCTTAGTTCATTCATGCACCTCTCCTTTATTCAGCTTTGTATTATTCGTCTATGTAATTTTAAAACGTTTATAAAAGATAAAAAAAATACTCGCTAGTGGGATTATTGAGTATTTCTTAAAATACTAAAGTCATGTGTTATTCTTACATTTTGTATGGATGATGACGGCGTCTCCACGAGCGCTGTGAAACCAGTGTTATGGTATTGCATTTTGTTTATTTTCCAACTCTTAGGTTAGACTCGAGCATGATTTTATTCTCTTCTCTATTTTATTTAAATTTCACTCGTTGTTTTGTTTTAAAATTTTATTACGAATTTTTAAGTCCATGACATCATTTTTGAAATATCTTAAATGAACGTTCCCGCACTTAACAATCATGTTATGCATTCATGGCGATCTTATTTTTAATAGAAAAATCAGACCGTTACAAAAGACTATATTGATGATTGCTACTGCTTATGAATTATGTTATGCTCAGATTTATCCCATAGACGGTGAAAATTTATAGACATGCACGAGTTATGACAAAACTATACCTTCCATATTAAGAAGACAACGTGGACAACCCAAGAAATTGAGACAAAGAGAGCCCTCAATCATCGGTTAAGCGGACCATAAACAGTCAATTTACGATAAGATAAACACAACAAAAGAAGTCGTAAAAGGAAAGTTAGTAATATGTTAGTTTCTACGCATTGAATTGTTATAATCTTACTACCGTAAAAGATCCATTTTATCCACATAATTTTTTAAATTTTCATCGATAAACTCGAGATCTATTGGATCTCGAATAAAATTAGTTCTTTTTCTACTTCTTTAAATAATTTTTAATTTTCGTAGTGAGCTTTCTGCCCTCCGACCACTATTAGAGGAGAAAGCTGTTTCAGCTCCAGTTCGTTCGGTGCTAAGCCAAGGTCCCAGGTCTCGGAATCGGCAGATGAAGCAAAAAAAAAAAAAACTTTTTAATGGGTTAAAATAATATTATTTTTTTTTTATATAAATATATTTTTTATGATGTAGGATAATGTATTTATATATATATATATATATATATATAAACATTTAACAATCTTGAGAGAGGGCTTTCGTTTGGTACCCTCTTTGCCCTCTGTCTGCGTCAGGAGGTGAGATATAGCTTTAGATTTCATCTCTCATCGTCTTTCTGGATCCACAAGCAAACTCCCAGATCTCAATCGCCACCCATCTCCTCCGTCTTAAATTCCATCGGATTCTGACCCTCTCCTTGCTCTTCCATACTCGCCTCTTCATCAAGGTAGGGTAAGTTTCCAAATCTCCGTGTGTTGTTTTGCTTCTAATTTCCGGTGATTACAGATTGTTATCTTTGCTTGTAATTCTGTTTTGCTATGGAATCGAATTGGATTGTTGTTCTTTTCCCATTTTAGTGATGTTTGAGATCGGAGTTAGGGTTTAGTTCTTCATTCTGCTGCTATGGTTATTGGGTGCCCTGCTGTACTCCTAGATCCCAGGGCGTTGTTTGGATTGGACATTGCCTAGTGATCTTTAGATGCGTTGATTGTGTCCTGGGTATACAGTTGATTGGATTTTGAACTTTTATGTGCTTTTTTGCTTTGTACCTTAAGATCCAAGAAGCAATGCCATTGCAATTGGTTGACTAGTATTGGATCTGCTTTTTATGAGCGAATGTGAATGCTATTTTTCTGGAACTGATTGGGATTGAGGTTTTAGGGTTTAAGTTTACGGCCTGATCGAGGAATCGATTGTGAATATTTTTTTGTTGTTCATTTCAGCTCCAATTGTTCCCTTTTAAATCTGCCAAAAGAAGGGGACTTTTTGTGTATTGTAATATTAATAATGTTTTCATTTGTATGTATTCTGTTTCAGTTTCGTTATACATCTATAAACCATGTGGAGGTTCAAGCCTTTCATGCACAAAGAACCATCTGGTCTCGAGGGTCGCTCGATCGATGTTGGAAATCTTAAGATTCAAGTAAGAAACGTCATTGCTGAAGGAGGATTCTCTTGTGTGTACTTAGCCAAGGATGCTGTACACATTTCGAATCAGTATGCTTTGAAGCACATTATATGCAATGATGAGGAATCTCTTGAGTTGGTGTTGAAGGAGGTTTCAGTTATGAAATCACTTAGGGGCCACCCCAATGTTGTTACACTTTATGCCCACACTGTCATAGATATGGGACGCACAAAGGAAGCTCTACTTGTGATGGAATTTTGTGAGAAGTCTTTGGTTAGTGTCCTGGAGAGTAGAGGAGCTGGATACTTCGATGAAAATCAAGTTCTCTTAATTTTCAGAGATGTTTGTAATGCAGTATTTGCAATGCATTGTCATTCCCCGCCAATTGCTCACAGGTAAAACACGGTAGCTAGTTATCTATATCCCAGCAATGTGATGATCTTATAAGTTATAATAGTCTACAAAATCTTTATTCTGTCATATTCCATAACTAGTTAATGAACCGATGCGATTTTCTCAGCTAGTAGTTTGGTTGTTAATTTGAAGCTTTGTAATTCAGGGTAAAAAGATCTCTACTCAATAGCTTTGAAGTCATGTCTACGCTCTATTTTTTGTTGTATATGGTTTTGGTTGATCTAATCCAACCATGTTTGGAAACATCTGTCAATGGTGTATGGTTTTTGTAATGATGGTATGGTCTATGTTTTTTGTTACCGAGTCTAATGACTACACTAAAATCTTGATTCTTTTTAATTACGGTTCTTTTATTGCATTACTAATTATTGATTTTCCCTTGTCATTGCAATTTTCAGAGATTTGAAAGCTGAAAATCTTTTGTTAGGCTCAGATGGCCTCTGGAAATTATGTGATTTTGGAAGCACTTCTACAAACCACAAGCGTTTTGAGAAGCCTGAGGAAATGGGAGTGGAAGAAGATAACATCAGGAAGTACACTACACCAGCCTATAGAGCCCCTGAGGTATTAAAGGATCCATATCCTAAAAAACAACTTGCAGTTGTGATCTCTGGTTGTAAATATGATTGTCATTTTGATCTTTTTACTGTTATGGAACAGATGTGGGATCTATACCGGAGAGAGCTTATAAATGAGAAAGTTGATATATGGGTATGTGAAGTCTTCCTCTCTATCAAAACATCAATTGTGATATAGAGTTTATGTATACACTTATTATGATTCTTAGCACTCTTCTTCTTGGTTGAACACAACTTTGATTTATCATATATGAGGTAGCTTACAGGCGGATTACCATGTTAACTATTGATCTTGAAGCGAGATCTAACTATTGATCTTGAAGCGAGGAAGATCGACCTTGCATACTATTCCAACAAATTGCCCAAAAATTAAAATTCAAGACATATATTGAGGATGATTGATCTCATACATTCTATACACGTTTAAGTGTTTGATGTTCCTTTTATAATTGAGATTTGAATTCTATTACATGACAGGCTCTTGGGTGTCTTCTCTTCCGCATATGTTACTTCAAAAGTGCTTTTGATGGAGAGTCAAAACTTCAAATTTTAAATGGGAACTATCGAATACCAGAGTTACCTAAATATAGCTCATCGATTACAAACCTAATCAGAGATATGCTCCAAGCGTCCCCAAATGACAGACCAGATATCACGCAGGCAAGCGCTTTGCTTGATTGGCCATTCATCTCCATGAATTTAGGTTAGTTTAGATTGCTCATGTCCATGACAATAATAGGTGTCAGGATTTTCATAATTCCTTCCTAATCTTAGGGTTTGTTTGTGTTGTGACAGGTCTGGTTTCGTGCTAATGACCAGCTACCAGTTGAATCACAGAAGTCATTACCTGATCAGCCACCTGACATGCCCTCTACAGACAAACAGGAAGGTGAGGGTGAAGGTAGCTTTAGCATTCACTAGTTTGATTAGATCTCTTTCCCTTAAGATACTTTTTAATCAATGTCTCAGATAGGAGGTAGGATACATGATGGCATCAAATAAAATCTTATTCTTCAGGAGCATTTACTAGTTATTCATTATCGAGTTAGTCGAGAAAACAGAGGTCGTTTATATCTCTTGTTGAACAAATGTGTGAAGGGCTTAAAAATTATGGTTTGGTGTTGAAGTTTGTTGATATGAATGATATCTTATCAGGCATTTCCAACCCTGTGAACAAATCTTCTCCTATGCCTCGTAGAAGTCCACCCGCAGTTCCTTCAGTTAAAAGTTCGTCACAAGCAGCAGCACATGTGCCCAAGGCAGCAGGGGGAGGGGGAGGTGGAGGTGGAGGATCGCTGGGTGCTTTCTGGTCTACTCAACATGCCAATGACACCGTCAACGAGGATACCAACAGAATTAGGTTCGATGAAGAGTCAACTTCTCGCTCATCAAAACATGACAGGATTAATCCAAATAATCATTCTTCGCTTAAGAATGCTAGTCCTGGGGATGTAGTCCAAAAGTCAAACAAGACAGTGGCAGACAGTGGTTCATTCAGTGACATCAAATTATCGTTTTTCCAGAATGAAACAGACCGTGGTTCCGAGGGATCAAAAGCATCAAAAACCGAGAGTGCAGCTTTCCAGGATAAAGCTTTTAACAATTTTGTTTCTGAGTTTGATACCTCCAAATTCAGTTCTGATGTCACTAACAACAGACCAGGAAAGGAAGTAGCATTAGAGGCTGAGGTGGAGAAGTTGAAGGAGCAACTGAAGCAAGCAAATGTGGAGAAAGCTGAAATCACATCCAAATTTGAAAAGTTGTCTGCTATCTGCCGTTCTCAGAGGCAAGAGATACAGGAGCTCAAGCAAGCACTTGCTGCTAGGAGTCCATCGCCGAAGAAAGTTGAAATAAAATCTCAGAACTCACCAGACGTTCAACCTTCTGCCATGCCTCGGGTATGCCCTCACTTTCTTTTTCGTCCCGTGGATTTGATATTCTTCATTGCAAGGAAAGCCTCCATCATTATGTAACGTAAAATGATTTGTGTTAATTTCACCTCTCAGCTGCAAAAGGCCGATTCGAGTACTCCTATCCCTGATGCAAAGCCATGGCAGGCCTTTGCAGAAGAATCCTCAAACCAGCAGCCTGTTACGACCGAGAAGGAAGTCAAATCTGTGAGAACTAGAAGCCTGCCAAGAAAGCAGGCTTCTTCTTCAGACAACACCGGTTTCGAAAGCTGGGGCTTCGGAGCTGAGAGTTTCACAGCCGTGTCTGCTGGAAGCTCCAACAAATCTGGATTTACTGGTGAAAGGAATAGTCCACAACAACGTACTGGTGGTGAACGGAAAAACACCGACATATCTTCACAACCTGCTGGATGGGCTGGTTTCTAGTTCCAGCCATGATAGGGAGCTGAACAAGATCTTTGAGTGCAGTTTCTTGATTGTTGGCAAATACTTTTCGAGAAGGATTCAAATTCGTGGTCGGCTTGAAAGATAAGTAATACCGATAGGGATATTTTCATTTAAAACCAATATATATATATATGTGTGTGTGTGTGTGTGTGTGTATTTGTGGTTGTGGTTGTGGTTTATAAGATCATGTTAAATGGCGGTACTTCTGCATGTGTTGCTTGTTTCGGGTCTAATATGATATAATAAGTTACCATTTTTACCATACATCGGACTTGAAACCATTATTGTATACTACCTCTGCCTGATTTTGTCTCGTGAATTTCTGTTTGAATCTCCGTTACTATAACCCTTTATTTGTGTGTTTAAATGTGAGTTACTTTTGTTGAAGATTGAAGGGATATTGACATCAAAAGATGACAGTAGAAAGAACACATTTTTTCTGATTCAACCAAACTCCATTTTATTTTCTCTCTTCCTCATTTCTAAACACAACAGGTTTCCCTCTTCGTTCTAAAACTCCTCTCAGTTGCTTCATTTGTTCTTCAATAGCTGATATCAAGTTCTTCTGAACCTGTACCCAAAACCCAAGCATCAACTTTTGAATAGAGCATGAAGTTTTATTATTTGTTCATGTTTGATGTCAAATTTGATGAAATTATAACTTCTAAGGAACATTCAAATCAATAAATTTTGGAATGGGATTATCAGACCTCCAATTGTTCATTCAAACTACTCTGTGTAGCAAGTAGTTGTCTCGCTGCTTCCACCAGCTGCTTCCCTCTGCTTGGATATATAAGGAAAGTTTGTAACATTTTCTTGTTGTGATTAATGTAAATGCAACTCAAGTACTCAACTCTACCTGTTTTGGTTAGCCAGCATCAGTTCCTTGTCGGGTTTTCTCTCGGATTTTCCTGCTTCACAAACACATCGACTTTTAGTACACGTAGGGATGTGGAGATTTGAAAAACGTCGTTATTTGTTTAGTTGAGAGTTTCAGTTGACAATCTTAACATTTTATTTTAATCATTATACTTTTTAATGTATAAGACGTTAACTATCTAGATTGGCACGTTCTGTAATACATAAAATATACCTTTTGAAAAATCTCGAATATGCTGAGAAATGCGGTATTTCTGAAACGGAAAATCATTTGGTTAAAAACTAAATCAAAAGAATAAGAAATTTAGAGTGAAATTTTGGTAGCTTTTTCTGTATACAAACCTGCAAGTGGCTTTTTATATGGATGAGAGTCAATCCTTCAGTTTTCATCAAGTGGAGGAGTTGCTTTGGTGTGGCTTCTGCACTTTTGTAACAAATAGAGTTACTAATTCAGATGGGGATATCCTCATTTACCAAATACGTTACTTACTTTGAGTGCCACCAAGCTGATCCACGCAATTCATGAATTTCTGGTGAAGTTCTTCGGTCCATTTAATTCGCTTCTTCGAACCAATCCTTGATTTTGACTGGAAACACAACGAAAAAGAGAACAAGAACCAAAAATGAAAAGGTTTAAACACAAAACATACGAATCAAATTCAACATATATGGAAGTACAGAGACCAAAATGAACCAAACCAAAACAGAACGGACGTATCAACAAACCTTTTTGTTCTCATTCCCCATCAACTCTTCCCATGACCAGGAACAGTCACCGCTGAACTCGTGGCAACAGCTTGATTGTTCTTGAGCTTCTCCTTGATGCTTTGATGAATCAAAAGCAAAAGATGAGAAATGAAGGTGAGGTTGATCATCTTCAGTGTTGGAGGATACAAATGAAGACTCTGCTTCAGAGAAAGTTTCACATCCTTCAAAAACATAGAAATCAAGCAATGGCGATCCCAAATAAGAGAGTTGACAAAGCCCATTGCAATCACTCATCAATAGTTGCTCGGTCATATCATAATCATATGAAGGAATACAATAAAATGTAAATGGTATATATAAGAACAGATGAGGCTGTTTGATCCACTTTCTTGTAATGATAAGGACATAATGTCGCCATGTAGCTTCATCTCAAAAGAAAAAAATTCTTTTCTTTCTGTTCAAAGTTTTTTTATAATGGTAACAACTGGTACAACTAGTACAAAGTTATTTGAAGTAGTACAAAGCTCTAATGTTAAATAAACCAATGAACATTTTGTCTCCAATACCCATATTTTAATTTTATCATTAACTCATTTTCATTTTCAAGTTCGGGTTAGGTTCATTTTCATGTTCGGATTAGGTTCTATGCACCTCGACTAATTTCATGGAACAATTCATTTGTCCCTGTACAACATTTAGGTATATAAAAAAAAAAAAACTCCTAAAATATTAAATTCCATGTGACCCAACACAACCAATCATTTCTCTTTATTCCTAAAGAATTAAAGGTCACCTTTTTTGAGTGATTTTGGCTGTAGCTCTTCGTCGTCGTCGTCCAGGTGCATTTGATGACGAAAAAACCTTGTTACCGTCAATTATGATCCTAAATAGTCATAAGAATCAATTTAGATTTTTTATTATTGGGTTATAGTTATCTTCACTTAATTTTATTTAAAATATACTCAAAATCACCTCAATAATATGATGGTATCAGAGTATGAAAATAATTAAATCTTGGACACAAAATGAAACAGAAAGGGCATACATGATATTGCAATTGGTCTAAGCTTTTTGCTTGCAACTGCAGTCCTGCAAACTTCAATTATTGCCCAACGGTCCCTCAGGATCTCATTATTAGCCTCAGAAAGCCCAATGGGCTCACGGGCCTGGATCGATCACGCGACTTCCGTTTTGAGTCCACAAAAAAAGTGGACTCCGTTGACGCTTTTTTCTAACTCACTTTTTCTTCCGAGATTCAACCGGCGGATTCGCCGGTGCAGCTACCTGGTCACCGATCTCTGACCGAAGTTGCTCTATGTTCTTCTTCATCCACCGGCTTTCTGTCCGTAAATCGTCCAAATGTTTCTTCAAAACTGAAATCTCTCCGGCGCTGACGGCCTCATTGCTTTCTCGTTCGCTGTCGCTGGCCGCCGCGAGTTCGATTTTGATCTTTCTTAATGCTAGATATGGCAGTTTAGAGAGCAGCATAACCTTGGCCGTAAACTCTTCCTTCTTCATGCTCATCGGAAACCTCATGCACCATTGGAACTTCACCGCCGCCGAGTTCTTGACCTTAAATGTCGATCTCGCGTTAATCTCCCCAGTCGAGAGCAGATCATGGAATCGATTAAATATCCCCGAGCAATGGATTCTCTGGCCTGAGAGCATCGTATTTCCGAGACCTAGGTCAGTATGAACTTCTCCCGAAGATTCGCCGCTATCGACGGATTTACCGCTACTCATAGCAGCAAGATCATCATCCAGAGGCAAATTGAAACTCGCGGTGTGCGACTGGACCGATCTGCGGAGAGTGAAATCGCCGAGTCGAGGCCTGAAGTGAAGGAAGAACCGAGGGGGTTTATTACCTGGAAGGTTGAATTCGGCGGTGAAATTCATAGGAGAGTCAATGGAGGAGCCGTGGAGTCCGATCCCGGCCTTGACGGCGAGAGTGAAAGGGGCGAGAGAATCATTGGGACGGTAAGAGAAGTTGAAAGCAGGGCCGGATCTGAAGAAAGAGGTGAAGGTGAAGGAGAGATTATCAGGTTCAGCAAGTTGAATGGCGGAACGGAAGGGGAAACCGAAGAAATTGAGAGGGATTTTGGCTCTGAAAATAGGGTTTCTTTGATCTTCACGGAAGATGATGGAAGCTTTCATAGTAATGTGATGAACAATTTGGAATTGGAAATGGATCCGCCTTCGTTTGTTCTTTATTATGTACAAATTGTATATATATATACATATATATATATATATATATATCTCATGGAGCTTAAGAGCTCCAAGTATTTGCCCTCTTTTGTAAGCCAAATATGTTACTTTAGGGAATCACCTAGTTTACTCAAATATGTTATTTTAATCCATAGTATTTAATTAGTATATTAGGTTCGAGCTTAGATGTTCGAGGCTCGATCTTTCAAACCTGTCCCGAACCTTTTGCTTTGGTCAGAATGACTAGAAACTCAAAGTTCGTCCTTTTTAGAGTTCGTCTTGACGTTTATGCAAAAGTTTGTTAAAATATGGACAACTTATTAGAGCTCTATAATGTTGGGAGTCGAAACTTCGTCCTTCTCGGAGTTCGTTTTTATGTTTGGACCAAAATTCGTCCAACCTTTGTTCAGTTGGAGCTCTGAAGAGTTAGAACCCCAAAGTTCGTCCAAACATGGCTTTGTCTAGACGTTTGGTCCAAAGTTTGTCCAAATTTCGATTCGTTAGAGCTATCGAAGCTTAGAAACCTTGAGTTTGTCCTTTGAAGACCTCGTTTCCTCCTAACTTTTACCTATTAGAACTTTGGAGAGTTAGGAACCCAAAGTTCGTCATTTGCAGAATTTGTCTTGATGCTTGTGTACAAGTTCACCAGTTCCAGAGTTTAGACCAAAGTTCGCCCAAACTCGTAATATTTTCGAGATAAGGAGGGTTAGAAACTCAACATTCGTCCTTTATGGAGTCTATCTCAGCGTTCGAACTCTAGAAAATTATAAGGTTTTAAATTTTGATCTTTATTATACGAAGAAAAAAAGTCGAATTTATATTTACATACCCATAAACTTAGAAAGATAATGAATATGTTAAGAAATTATTAAATAAATAATTGAAAGTTTATGAGCAATATACTAAGAAATTATTAAATAAATAATTGAAAGTTAGCAATAGGTTAATAAATTATTAAATAAATAATAGAGATTATTTGATAATTTGAGTCCAATTAGATACCCAATTTCATTTAATACCAACCAAAGTAAGGGTAACTCAAAGGTGAGCATATACTTTTTTTTTTTCTTCGGGCGAGACATTTCAATCCTCAAACTTTATTTATTATACTATAAGGTGATAGTGGAACTAGCGACATTTTATTTTTCCCTCATCTTACCGATTGAACATCTGTAACATCATCAAAGCATAATGAGACAATGAGTTTTTCTCCTCCAACGTTCTTATCCGAGTTCTCCACCAAAACATAGCACTAAACATCTACCAAACCATAACACTAAACATCTACCGACTTCTCCTTTCCTTGCTAACCTTTCCACACGTACGTCATGTCAAAACTTTATCTAAGTCTTTGAAATCGGTTCAACTAACTCCCTTGTGTTGTGCAAAAAAGACCGAGATTGGATGCAACCGGATGCAACGGCGATTTAGAATCGAAAGGAAGCAAGACCCAAATTCATTTGGGTGAAGATAACAATTACACTCTCATGATTTTAAATGGAAATATGTTGAACAGTGTTATAAAATAACAGAACTAAAAGGATTCACATAAAGATAACAGCAGAGAAGAAGTCAGTTAAAGCTCCTTTCCCATTTCCCATCAGCAGCCCTTCTAAAAATTCTTGGCTTCTTCTCTGGGAAGCTTTCTCTCCAATCTGGGTGTTCCACTAAATAAGCCCACTGCCTGTTAAGAGAGGGAGACAATATTCAGTTCCACATATACGTTACGAGCAGCATTTGGTTTTAATACATCGAGTCGTATGAACATTCATGGGGGGAAACGGGTACACGAATGATTGGAAGAACGTTTTGAAATTCATATGATTGCAGAAACAAGTAAAATACATCTTATTTTGAGGGTATTCGACATGTTATATATACCTTCTTGAATTTTCCACAAAGTCTGGTGCTTCTGCAGAAGGAGAGGTAGAACATGATTGAAGGATTTCGGCATCGGAAAGCTGTTGCAGAGACAGAGCCATGTATCGTTTCCATGGCGACCTATTATATCACAAGAACATCATTCGTTGTCCATCCGAGTTAATCCTAAGGTAAAAATGGTCATGGGGAGGATTTGCAAGTTACAGGTTGACAGATTACCAGCAGCATGGTTCGATTTTGAACTGATCGGTATGAGTTTCGTATGTCTCCAGCAGTCTTCCCTTCAAACTTGGATCCTCGTACGAGGAAGATAGTCGAATTCTCCGAATAACTTCATCTGGACATCTTGAAGTACTGTCAAAGCTAGCAGGGAACACAGATCCATCGGAAGTTTTCACCTGAATTACCAAAAGGAAAAGTAGTACATTTAAGTTAAATTTGCATTCTAAAGGTTTAATTTGTTTTATAGAACGCACTCAAACAATGCTGATCATCTTATAGCTCATAAATCAGCTCGTGAATTGTGATGAAAATCATAGCTCAACCCGAAAAGATGAAAGAAAATAAACAGAACATGAAACTGGATGAATCAAAGACTAACCGAGAATCCACTGAAGATGGGGTAAGCATTCCCTTCAGAGTCTCTCCGAGTGTTGTGATGAAGAACACAAAGAGTCTGAAGATGAAATGTCTCTGGTCTTGTCCATAAACGCTCGATAATCTTGTTACACAGCGGAAATGAATGACCCTCTGTCTTTTTACGATCTTCCAACTCGGTGATATCATTACTTTCCTGCATCAAACCCCAATGCATACAATTCAATTCAAATATTCTGATTGTGTGGATGGCATCCTTGGAAATGAATCACAAAGTTATAGGTTCTGGGCCAGACTTTGAGTAGAACATCTTCAAAGCCTCCAACTAAATGAACCTACATTGTGTAATAGATTCGAATCAGTCCTCAAGCATTAGCTTAAATCAATTCATTTGTTAGATAAGCAGGATCGACAGTACGGACATTACATCTAACTCGGCATCAGAAGAGGGATCAACAACTAAGGATAACATCTGCGAGAGGGCGTTTTCTATGATGTTTGGAAAATCTATATGAGCAACCGATGTCCTGAAGGCCAGGAAATGAGATTAGGAAGCATAAGTTGGCAACTATTGTAACACAATGGCGAGATTAGCAGAAGAAAATACATATAACTTCTCAGAAATAATTCTTACATTCCGTTTTTTCGATTCCGAATAGCTACACCCACACAAGTTGTTGCTTCATCAGTGCCAACGAACTTTAGTTATGCATTGTGGGTATAAATACACAAAGTTAGAAAAGAACAGAAAGCTGCATACACTTCAACATCAGGAAAGCTGCATACACTTCAACATCAGGATCTAATAGTTCTTACCCAGCTGACCACCAACTTTAATTCAGAATGCAATTGAAAATACTTATGGATGTGTAAAGGAATAACTTGCTTTAGGTTCTTTGTTGTAGTCCTAAGGATAAATATCATAATCTTTTGGCATCGTTCGAAGGATTTTCGTGATCTCAAAACCTAACCTCAGGGTATTACTGACATCTAATGGGACACAAAAGCGTTAAACTTTTTAAAACTCAACGACATAGTTGTACAACCTATAACATTGATATTGTTCGAGTAAGGTCGTGGTCGAGACACAGGAGC